GTGCTCGCGATTGCTCGTGCCTCGCACTCGCGCAGTTCATGGCAAAACCTTCCGAATCAGAAACTTTAAAAAAATGGTGGATTTGCGCGTTCTTAGAAAACTTAATAGGGAGTTTTAGAATAACGTGCGCAATTTTAGCGCACGCTAGCGTTAAATTTAGCACTTGGTTTAGCGCACGCGACGCAAGAGAGTTTTAGAATAGCGTTTCTCCGCCGCGACGCCAAAGCCCAAGCATCTCGCGCTTGCAACGCCACCAAGATACGGTCACGATTTCTATTTCACACACGAAATGCTGCAACTTGAGAAAAAAACAAGATTTTTGGTCCGGAGTAACAATTTTACATTTGTTTAAACGTGATGTGCGACGCGAGCGGTCGACAAGTCGTGCCCGCCGCATGCGTCGCCTCGGCAAGAGTGTACTGACCTTCGTCGCAAGCATCAAGTTGCCGGTGATCGTTGCCCACCCTACCAGGTTTTCTGAACCGAGTGCAATGCCGTCCCGAGGTCCCGTATTCGAAATCCCAGTCGCGAGGATGCCGCCGACGTCGCGCTCACAACACCGCCAAAGCGACCGCAACCGTAATCCTGGAAGCCGCCATTTTTTTGTTTTTTTTAATCCGTGCTCGTTTTGGCTGTAGCCAACTTCCCATCACGACTCCTCCTTAGAGGAGCGCAAAGGCGCTTTGCGTACGCCCGCTATTTCCGAGAAATAGCACACGCTAAAATTGCGCACGCAAAGCGCAAAATCTGGTTTGCGTTCGGAGCATGCGCAGTGGCGACGACGCCATTCTTTGCGTAAGCAAAGCTTTAGCGTGCGCTATTCTAAAACTCCCTAATAACGTCTCATGTTAACATCGGAGATAAACCGCTTTCTAAATTCACGCGTAGATTATAAAAAGACTCTGGTCGTACAGCCAAATGACGAAACGATCGACACCGCTGAACGTCTAAATCAAACTTTGAGAGGACAGAACGAGCGGGTTGGTATGAATAATTTGAGACATTACAGGTGAAATGTTAAATTGTTTTAAGTTAAAAATTTTGGCCGTGTTTTTTGTGTTTACCAAAGTGTTGGATTTTCACAGCATCCAATAGAGAACAAGCGCTTTAAAGGGGTTCATTACCAAAAATTAGGAAAAGTAGTAAAAGAAACGCCGTAAAATAATAAAGGATTGATAAGTATTTTGCGGTGATCTAATTTTTGCGAAAGGTGGAAGTAAAAACTAGTAGGGCTGGGCAATTGATGGATTAACCTACCAATTAAATGATGAATACTTTAATAGCCATCATGTTTTTTGACCATTTCATCCGTTGACTTTTGACGAACCAAAAGACAATGAAAATAAATATTTTCACCACGCAGTCGTGGTCGAGTACACCGGTATGAAGGACGAAATTGTTGGCGCTATCTTAACCTAAAGTAAACTGTAGGGCGAGACTGTAACTCCAGACACGCGAAGAAGGTTGCAGGTGTCCCGACCACTCCAATCACGTCCGAGTGTGTCCTTTTATTGCAGCGGATGTCATTGCGACCACCCAAAGGAGCTTGCTCTTGCCGGAGAACATCAGCTAACATCCGTGCCTCATGCAGCTGAAGTAATAGGCTGTGAGTGTGAGTGTCTTTGAACTGTCTTTAACTACACACCGAAGTTGATTAATAATCCAAGTTGTATATGGCGCCGTTCATCACAAATTCAACAAAGGCAAAACAATGTAATTTTGTAATTTTGGCTTTTTAAAAATAGTATGCACGAATATGAAGCAGACCGATTAATCGATTAAAGGATGGTGATTAATCGGGTTAATATTTTTAATTGACGTCCAGCCCTAAAAATAAATGATCAAAAACTGATAAAGCGGATAGATAGGTTTATCAAAACACGCTGCAACTTAAAACCCTATCACCAAACTTCATTAGCGCAAAATATCAAAAATTTAAAAAAGGGCAACTAAAAAAAACAATTTCTTGAACGTTTAGACTAATTGCATTATCATCATAGCTTTAAAATGCAGGCCGTTCACCCTTGTTGGTGTTAGACTGGTGGCAGCTGTCAAAACCCGTTTGCTCTGCTGACGTCTAACTCATGGTATCTTGGTTGATAGAGGGACCCACTGGAATGGCGAGGTCCCTGATTCGATACCAAGACCAGGCGGAATTTTTCAGTCGCGCACCAGTCCCCTAGCTGTGTTTAAATATTTATGTTTGTCCTTTGTCCTCCTTGTTTTTCTTCTCCATGGAATATTATTGCTATTCTTGTCCAGCTCGCTTGCACCTTTGCATCAATTACATTATCATTGTAACTTTAAAATGCAGGCCGTTCACCCTTGTTGGTGTTAAACTGGTGACAGCTGTTAAAACCCGTTTGCTTCGCTGACGTCTAACTCCTGGCTAGCTCAGTTGGTAGTGCACTCCACTGGAAATGGAGAAGTCCCTGGTTCGATAAGAGGACCACGTGGATTTTCTTATGGTGAATTCCGCTCGCAGATCTCGAGCGCTCCAAAAGCGCTCCATTTGGAGCGCGCATATTCCGCTCGCAGATCTGGCTCAAGTTGGTCATCTTCCGCTCGTAGATCTCTGGCAGCGCCCGCTCCACGGAGCGCCCCCAACTCCGCCGAACTTGCTCTGCGGGATTTCACAGATCTCTCCGGAAATTGACAGAGCGGCCCACGTGATTTCCGTCTAAATCGGCGGTGCGCAGGCGCGGCGAGGTTGGAGAGATCGGCGGGCCGGTCGGGCCACGGTCGGGTCGTGGAGTTGGATCTGTTCGGGTGCGTCGGTTGTTTACTCTGGACTGTGACGGCTCGAACGCTTCTACCTCGCGTAGATCAGGGATAAAAAGCCGGGAATGTGGAGCGTGGCAAATCGTAAGCGCTGACATCTGTGATCACCGAAGAAGAACGAAAAAAAGAACGACAGAAAAGCCGGAGGCAGACGCAAGGTTAGGCCTATTCATTCTGCAGCCAGTGATTGTTTACCTTTTTACACTGCATTCCATCGGCGTTTTCCCGTGAAATAAAGCAAGAAGTGGTTAGGCAACGACCGCGCAAGTGATGGTTTGTTACCTCTGTGTTTATTAAAGTCGTACTAGCAATCTGAACTCCACCGCTGGCAATCGCTGTCCGTGCCCCGCCGCTTCGAGGCGGCCGAAAGGTATGTGACGGTGCCGAACGCGGACGTCTTCGCTATTTGTGACATAGGCGCCGTGGTACGTATAATTCCGCCCGGCCTGTGTCGCGTGTTACTTCTGCAGCTAAGCAGTGACAGCCGTCACTGGTCGTCGGAAAGATCAGCCGGCTGAGGTGTTGGTGGGCTGGTCAAGTTCGAGCAGCCGTCATTTTGAACGGCGGAAGGAGAAGGGGTGGGGAGGGGTGTTGGTGAGGTCGCTCCGAAAATGCAAGTTTATCTTCCCCTCGTCGATACGGAGCGGGTCCCACGGAGCGGAATTTTGCCTCCCTCGCGGATTTTGGAAAGCGCTCCAGATCTACGAGTGGAATTCACCATTAGTCGCACACCAGTTACCTATCGCTGTGCTTGGAGACTGGTGTTTGTCTTCCTTCTCCCTTGTTCCCCTTCCCCAGGGATTATTATCGTTACTCTTGTCCTGTTCGCTTGCAGTTTTGAATTAATTGTAGGGCTGGGCGTCGATTAAAAATTGTAACCCGATTAATCGGAACCCTTTAATCGATTAATTATTTGATTAATCGGTTTCAATGATTTTCATTCATATGAAGATAAATTTACACTTCTTGCCTTTGCTGATTTTTTTTTTTTTTTGTTCGTTACTGTGTGCTAAAAGACGCAATGTGTAAATTTGTCGTTTCAACTTTGATGTGCTTTTTTTTAGGATCCAAAGAGTCTAACAACTTATTTTTCCTCTTTTAGATTCAGAGAAGTTTGTTGATATTTTCCGGCAGGAACAAGCTCATTTGCTTGTTTACAAAGCTCACTGCCGCCCTAAACAGACGCTCGCTTGGTGATGAAAGTGACAGTGTGCGGTATAATCTTCTCGCCTTGCTGTGGGTTGCAAACGTCGTCCCTGCCGCTTACATTACATTTAAATTTCACCTGAAGCTCACCCTTCATGTTGGTGTACTCCAGTATACGAAGTGTCAATACCGAAGCAAGTAAAAGGGGCAAAGGATACGCCGTGCCTCTTCAGTTCTCAGAGATTCTTGCCCGTCAGAGAGATGAGACGTCATTCACCCTTCCCGGCAAGAAACTTTCTCGCGAGGAGGCTGCGGCCTGGCGTCAAATACAGACAAGTAGATACACACACTTAGGTGATCTACACAAATTCTATCCCGGTAGATACTCCGATAGGTTCCCGCATAGTGGTGAATATCCGACACTTTACCATGTAACGTGGGCACGCCTATCTAATTCCTCGCTCCCTCTTAAACCTAACCGTACCTACGAGACCTGGGAGGCTGCGCTGCTCAGCTCGTCTGTTCAAAGCCAGCGAGAGCTGGTTGAGCGGGCGAAACTGGCGGCGGAAAGCACTGGAACCCTAGACTAAAAGCCCCACCTACAACAAGTGTTTTTTTTTTTTCAATTAAGTTATTTTTTTTCCTCCTCTTCCTCCTCCCTCTGAAGGAACTTATCAGTTAAAATTTAGCGTTGCTCATGTGTCCTCGACCCAACCAACCGCAAAGGAAGGCACTCGTTAAAGGAAGGTAGAAGGCGGGATTCATTGTTTACCCCGAATTACTGAGTAGAAAAAAACGAAGAAAAAAAATATTTTGTAGTTTGCTCCCCTGGCGTCTAACTCTTGGTTAGAAAAGTTGATAAAGAACTTCACTGGAAAGGGGGGTCCCTGGATCGAAACCCAGGACCAGGCGGATTTTTCTAGTCGCGCACCAGTCACCTAGCTGCGCTTGGAAATTTGCGTTGGTCCTTTATTCCCCTTGTTCTCCTGTCCAGAGGTTGTCGTCGTAGCCTATTGATCCCAAGGGTATTCGTTCATTGGCATCACAGAAGACCTAAGATATGATGAACTCACCATGAATTTTAGGGTTCCAATTGTAATTCTGCATTATGAGCATGTCCAAGCTGGAATTGTCAAACGCCATAACGTTTCATCTTTACAGAAAGGCAATATTTTTTCAATACCGAAAAAAACTTAAATCTTAATGCGGAATGTGGCTAATTATGTCCACGCTCCATGCTTTGTGACTTGTTTCATTGAAGTTAAGGTCAGTAGCTGCAAAGCGGTAATAACATATCTGAGGCATGTCAAGCCCTGTATTACACATATAGTATAAGTATATTTTTCGGTTTTTATTTTCTTAACCAAATTACAGTATATTCGGCCAAATATAAGTTACATGAATCGGGAAAAAAAAGAGGGGGGAGGGGAAATCAAACTATGCGGCACCAAAACTGTGACCGACTGTTCGCTTTGATTTATACAATGTAACTTCTTCATAAATTTTGCATGTATAAAGATAAACAATAAACAATATTCTTATGATAGCCGGATGTAGATTATCTCATTTTAATTGATTGAAGAAAAAATATTCGAGTTTTGACTTACCCTGTGACGAAAAGGATCACGTCTGCAGTAACGTTAAGCTGCTTTGTTTGAAAGTGATATGATAATTTCTTTAGCGATCCTTCCGAGTCTAGGTACCCGACCTGTTCGCTGACAAAACCATCTGGTGTTGGAGGCACCGTCACTACGTGCGAGTAGTTCTGGAAAATATAGGAAGCAAGCAAAAAATTGTGTTACATACAGTAAGGAGTATACATACATCTGAAGGTTTCACGAAACTCCTGCCAGATTATTGGCGTAGAAACTGCGCATCGCACAGCAGCAAGATTGATACCGTCTTAGTCGCTCACAAGGGCCCCATTTAGGAATATCACACTGCGCGACGCTGTTAGCAAAAACATTTATGTACTTGGCGCTGGTGTATCCGGGGCGACAGTACTTGGACAGCTCAGACATCGTATGTGCCAACTGCTTCTCAACGATGGACTCTACGACCAAGAGGCTCCCACTTCGCTTTCGTCGTCGGTTTTTACCGCCCCCCTTCCGTCGCTCGAGGTTGCGGCTCCATCCGCCGCCGCGATGTCGTCATTGGCGAATCATTACTCCTCTTCACTTTCACAACTGTTCTTTCTACCAGCTGTTACACCCTCATCCCCTCCCCCAACTAATGATGGCCGTCTGGCCTCTGGCTATAACATACACGCTAGTATTTCCTCTTTCGCAAGCTTTTATCTCACTTAACAGTTAATATTTCTTTAGAAGTTATAGGGTGTGGTAATAAGACTATTAATGTGCTGGAAAGTGCTCATTCAAGGCATAATCTTTTTCTGTAAAAGTGTGCGCCCGCCAGTGCCATTTTAAAGTACGACGCGAGAAACCTCCAATATTGTGTTTGTGCAAACAGTGTCGCGCGCTATATTCATCATGGTCTTAATAAGTTTTGCAAAAATATGAAATTTTAATTTGTAAATACATAGCCAAAGCATAGCCAATACATAGCCAAAGATCATGCAGCCCATTCATTAATGTCCTCTTTGCCAATTTAAAATTTTTCTCCCCTAGTTATTGGGGTTAGTTTGTAAGAGAATTTTGTAGTATTCAAAACATAATCATTGTTATCACACGTACCGCAAGCAGGATCACACCGGTGAGAAGAAATTGAACAGCTGGGCCGGTGAGCGCTGCGTATCGAAGGTTTACCTTCAGTGGAGAGAAGATTCAAATATAAAATTAAATTTGGGCACCTATTACTTCACATTGTTCATGCGTAGAAATAAAAAAATTCTATTAAAATCAATAAACTATTCGTTATAAACATTAAAACAACCTTTCCATGAAAGAAGAAAAATAATTATCGTAAAATTTAGAAATAATAAATCTGTAGGAAGTTTCTGGACGAGCCCGTGAGGGAATTCCGAGCCAAGAGTGTTGTGATTTCTGGCTTAGTGTGAAACATATTTGAACGACGTTTTTTAAAGTGTGCCGATAAACATGAGTATTAAAGCAAATGCTGCGCAAACGACGACGACGAAAGATGCACAGGAACAGGCGCTGCCTTTGTGATTCATTCTTTTCCTCGAGTTTTGCGCGAAAATTGCTGTCATGAAGTATCAACTCGCTTAAATATCAGCCCTAGTCAGGATAATTAATTATGGCTGAGCCTAAAGTGGTTTTTGTGGCCGTCAATTCACACGAAAAAGACTAACTTTCGTCAACGTTCCACGTAAAGGAAAAATGCAACTCAAACCTAAAGAAAAGCAATTTCATGCCGACTTGTAGCACAGATCTTTGAGAGGTAAAAACGAGTGCTCATATTTTAGCAGCGAAATTCATTGCTTGAGGAATGGAGCCATACATTTATATTGCCATTTAAAAAGAAACTGCCAAAATTGTCTCTGGCAGTTCCCCACAAAATTACAATTTTCAGCTAATAACAATTAAAATAAATTCAAAGGTGTTTAGTAATTCCTCCAAGCAAATTTTTCTTTCTGTGCGATATATTCGTGTGTAAATGCATGTTTTGGGGGGAAAGTCGCTACTTCTAATCCTTCATCTATACTTTGTTCAGTCCTACGCTAAGGGTGCGGTGGAGTTGTGGAATTCTTACACCATTAAGTGGGTAAATTTAAGGTCCATGTATACTGGAAGGTAACACAAACCATTGTCTAAAATGGGGAAAAGCAATTTCTCCTCGCCCACGCCCCTTCCTTCTCAAAAGTTCTATTTCCCCTCGCTTTAATTGGATTTGGGCGCGACACGTGACCTTCCCATGATCTCGCGCGATTCGGTGGTATTTTATAAACCGATATAAACTTTTTGCAATGCATGTATCTAATAGATCTTGTAAGTAGCATACATAGTGCTTTATCGATGGCCCTTATGAACCCCAAAAATCAACACAATGCATTTTTCTTTCCAACAGACGAGCAGAAAGTAATTTGTACGATGTTATCATTTAAAAACAGTAACTCCTCTTATATAGATGATTTCCAAATCCAACCACTTAAGTATGTATTAGAGGTCTTAGCACCAGTTTTAGCGCATATTATGAACGCAGACTCCAAATGCCGAGCAGGAAAGCCGGAGATAGGGGGATGAACGCGCAACTCTGGCTCCCGTGGGAGCCTATACAGGAACTCTAGCCCGAACCAGAGCCGGCCCGAACAACGAGGTAGCGCCACCTGTCAACACGTGCGCCATCGATCATGGCAAGTTTTTTGGCCCTCCTTTTTACAAAAAGGGAGCTGCGCATTGTAATTTTACATGATGAAACCCATCTGTGAAATACACTTTTGACGAAAAGTTTAGATTGCCACTTGGAGGCGCCGATTTTTACGGCCCATTTTAGATCCAGCCTCGGCATTTGAAAAACCCTATGCTGCGTTACACATTGGAGCGATTCAAAAGGAACGCGTTACGTTAGCTTGAACGTAACACGATTTTTTTTCTTCTTGTGGTTACTCCGACAATGTCACTTTTATGATGCCGCTTCTAATACTTGTCGTCGAAAATTAACCATTCTTTCCTTTTTAACACGTTCATTCAGAGATAACTGTGTCTGTAATCAAATAACTTGCGCGCATTTTTTATGATCTGTCTAGCGTTTTCCCCTCGTGCAAATTGCAGGCGTGAGCTGGGGTGAGAACTAGGTTGTGTACTTGTGTTGTACACGTTCCCTTCCAGACGAAACTAAATATCGTTACTCGTTACTTAATCAGAAAATAACGAAAATACTTACTCGTTACCGAAAAAAAATAACTAGTTGCAAGTAACGCGTGACGAAGGACTCTGCGCATGACTGGCCCAGCTAGCAAGTTTCTCCCACTGAGCTTTGTGGTGAACCAAGGATAAGTAACAAATTTAAGTTGCTTTTGGTTTTTTAATGCAAGTTCTGGAGGGATAATTCGTCGCATCTAGGGAAGTGGAGAGTTGATCGGGTTGGTAAGATTGCATCATATTAAAAACAGCGCACAAACTGTGAGGAAGAGAAAAGGAGAGAAAACGAAGTGTTGTGTTCTCTTCCTAACTGCTTGTGCAGTGAGGAAGAGCGTTCTGAAAATAGAGTGTTCAGAACTCTGCGTTCTTTTCCCTTGTCTTCCTCACTGCTTGTGCGCTGTATTTAATATGATGGCACCAAGGGAAACTCAATAAACAGAGCAGGCCGGCGTAGCTCAACTAGTACGTCTGAAACTAAATAGCATGCAGCTCAACGCGAGCCCTTGAGTAATAAAATAAATCCCAATACAGGTCTTCCGGTTGAAACTTTTTTCTGACAGTGTCAATTTTCGCTTTCTGACCTTCCTCAAGTCAACACGTGGCAATCTTTATAAAAAAAAAAAAATCGGCGTTGCACCTTGTTGGATGTGGGTGAGCTTCATTTCATTGCACGTTGTTGTGCCTCGGGAGTGAAAGGTAGAGCGATCTTTGATCTCTTGCAGCGATTGACGAAATGATGTTGCAAGACAAACCAAAAGACAGTACCTATCGCTGCGACCGTACTTAAAAGCTGGATATACCGATGAGCTGGGCGAATGCACACGATGAATTTGTGAAGAACTAAAAGGTAATTGCGACCAAGTTGTCGGTGACTTCAGCACGAAATGCACCCTTCGACCGGATCATCTACGATTTGCTTTCCTGTGACGAGTTGACGGTGGCGGGTAGGTCGGTTACAACGTCGTGCTAGGGGCGTTATCGCAATCGTGTTGCTGTTATGTCATGGCGGTTTCCATACCGAAAACAGGGAGACAGCCAAGTACACCAGCGCCTCTTTTGGTTTCTTGAAGTGAGGATGGCGATGATGACGAGGGTCGCATAAAATCTTCACTTCGACAAACACTGTCTCCGCCGTGAGCCCCGTTTCTGCGTGCAACAGAAATTAATGTACCACACGAACCACTCAAGAAAAAAGAAAAATGCAAGACTCTCGCGACATTTATTTATTTATTTATTTAGAAATACTACCAGTTTCCATCGGAAACTTTAGTAGGGTGGTTACAAGGTAAAACACAATTTACATACTTTATAGTGCAATGTTTAAAAAAAAAAAAAAGACAGTGAGGAGGTAGGGGCTATTCAGTGGAGACACGGGAGGATCTTAATACACATATTACACGTTCTTAAAATCTGTGACAGCTTCAAAGACGCCCAGGGCATGGCGAGTCCGGAACGTAATAGCCCCACAGCCAGTGGCAATTTCGTATTATCCGACAAGAAGGCCAATGAACAACTCATGATGCAAGAAGCGTGAACCTTGCAAGACATGCCCTTCGTCCGATGTTACAGATGAGAAAAGCACACACACTGCTTGCACAAGAACCATGCCCCTCGTCCGATGTTACAGTGTACAAGATCAGACACACTACTCGCACAATGATTTGGTGTGCTGTAACATCGAAGGTATATACGAACAACCAACCGGCCCAAGCTGCAGTCTCAATTATGCCTTTCGTTTGACGCAGTGCCAGCTCAGAGTATTGATTTAAAAGATGAGCTTTAACTTGAACATTCCTCACATTATTTCGAGGAGTAACTGTAACTCAATTAAATCCGAAGTTGCTTCAAAAATGTCCCTGAGTTACAGTGAGAGTCATGAAAATCTGGTGTCAGATTAGGAAGCATCCAGTTACTCAAACTATCACAACATATACGGTTGCTTCAATGCGTGCCTTCCGACCGCCCGGCCTCCAGAATGCCCTCCGTGCCTTCGGCCGTGCTTTGGCTGCGCACTCGCGCCGGAGGTGCACGAGACAACGAAGCGTCGTCGAAAGTAAGAGCTCGGACTGGAGGCGGGACAACTGAGACTCTAGCTCCCTGACGCTCTCACCTCGTGAGCCACACTTCTACTTATGTCGAGCAATGCTCAACAGCTTATTAGGTCGGCCGTAACACTATACGGCCAGACCATGTCCGACAGTGCGGAGCGCAAGTTTGTCTGCTTCTTGAACAGGGGTTGTGGTTATGTCAGAACGCCGAGCTCTTATTGGCTGACCGAAAAAAAAAATAGTGGGTAGACTTCAAGGCATTTGGTATTGAGGCCTACCCTTTTCTTTCTCCTCCAAGTCAAAGCCAATCAGAACTCGACTCCTTTGCAAGAAGCAGACGACTTTCTCTACGCATAGACCCTTTTTCAAAACCACATCGGGCAACATTGGCAGTCGCCATGTCTTGGGCACAAAGCACGGGATTGGATCCGAGTTCTCGCCGAAGGCTGACGCGACACTCGGTTTCTGTACGAGCTGCAGCGAGTCCACGCCGAACACGGACGCAGTCCTCGTTCCCGATACAGGCTCATAGTACACGTGCCCAAAAACGGAGGACTTGATGACTTGACCCTGCGACCACTAGAGGGCGCAAACTTTTGAAAGGGGTATATTATATGTGCCGTGAATCATGTTACTTAATTTGCCGTTTTTATTTTTATTTATTTGTTTAAATACTTCTTTTTCTCTCGATCTCACAATCGAGGACTGGAATTCTCTTCTCTAAGGTCTAATATCATCCACTGATTTTGTCTCATTAGCAGATAACGCACTTTAAACTTATTGACGCTCATTCATTTTCAGTTGTGTCATCCCTTCCACAACACTGCTTATCATCGTAAATGCTCGCGTATTGCAAAGTTTTTTTAACTCTTTTTTTATTTTTTTTATATTCTAGGTTTTGTTTGTTTATTTGTTTCTATTTTGCCCGCTGTCGGTGTTTTTACCGTGTTGATGCCCATTCGCCTTTCATGTACACTATGTGCAGTGAGGTCGTACATTCGCACAGTGAGTTTTTGATAATTTTTTTTTTTTTATTTATTAGTTATATGTTAGCTTCTTTTCTGAACTTGTACAGGATGTGCTCTATTTTCCTTTCTACCCTTCCTGTCTGGACCATTCATTTGCACTGCTGTAAGCAATTAATAAATAAATACAATTAAAATAAAAAGTAAATAAAATATACCGCAGATAATTTATGATCACCCTGTGTTTTACTCACCTTGAGCTGAGCTCCAGGATCTTTCTGAGACCGCAGAATCAGGGGTCACTGGAAGGCACGCAGCGCATTTTTTTTTTTCATAACGGGAAATGGAGTTTACTGTACTATATAACTCTACTGAGTTTTCTTCTAGGCCATTTTATTAGATTGCACTGTGTTTGGTTGCATTGCATTGTGTATTGTTTTGCATTGTATTGTAGCGCAAATCAATACATGTCTTGCATCAGACCTGTGGTCATTGCGCCAGACCTGCACGTGACACGTTATAGGGAACGCGTTACTTGTGCCTAGTTATGTTTTGCAGTGAAGTAACGATCCAGTTAAGGTCCGTTCATACACTTGCGACTCCTCGTTACCGAGTGCTTTAAAATCTCTTACGACGAGAGAACACACTGGCACGCTTGCGCCAACTATGCGGTGGCCCATGTACTGCATTTCACGAGAGCGAAGGTTTTGCGGTATTTGCGGAATTAAATGTACGTACTACCTACGAGATATTCTGGTTTATAACATTGATGAAAGTTTTTCAAGCCAAAACATAAAGAATAAAGCGCGAAAAAAAAAAAAAGAAATATTTGAGACTGCTAAATGTTCCATGGCTACCCGATAGGTGGCGCCAGTGTATTCTCTCGTCGTCAAATGTTTGAACAGGCTTCAAGACACACGGTTTTTAGAAGACGAAAACGGGCCTTCACATTTCAAGAGCACGAAAAGTAACGCATTTTCCTTGCTTTTTGCTGAAGAACATATAACGGTATTCAGTCGCTTCTCTAGGAGGACGTCTACAACCCAAAGTTTTTTCGAACTCAGCAAGGTTGTTTTTTTTTAACTCAGAAACTTACAACCCGGATTCTATGTTCTGCTGGCGTAATAGACGCAGGGGTTAAGGTGTGCTCACTGGTGTGCTCAGCGTCCCATTCTGCCCGTGCACCGAAAGGGTTCCCAAAGTGGCAACAAATGACGTCACAAAAGCCGGAGTGTCGTGCTGTCGGATGTCGCGACCCTGGTGGTTCGTGGTAAAAGTTCCGTCAAGAAGCACGAGCAACCGCGAGTGTCGCTGTCAACGTAACCGTCCCAACTTGTGGCTGTCGAAGCTTCCGTGGACTGTTAAGCAGGAGAGCGACTTGCAACGAACAGGCGTCATTCACATCCACTACGGCTGTTGTGACACCGCCAGGATTGCTGTCGGCTACAGCATGACACTTCTACTACATCATCAGGCGGAAGTCGAGAGACCAGTTTTTTGGACGCGGTAATCACACCAGTCGGTGACGCGTTCATGGCACCATTTCAGTACTGTCGGTGAACGCCATGGCTATGCGGAGAGCAAGTCGTCTGCTTCTTGTGCAGGTGGTTGCTTTGACGTCAGAACGACGCCGGGCTGTGATTGTATTTTACTGAAAGGATAGTGGGTAGAGCTGAATGCTAGATGCCTTAAGGTTTACCCACCATTTTTTTTTCAGTCATCCAATAAGAAATTATATAGTAGGCAATCAGGTAAGCTGGCGAATGTTAACCATGTTGAATAAACCTGAGACTGGGGCAGATATGAAGACATAAGTCAAAGGAACAGAGAAGGACAAAACGACGTCTCAACCATGATGAGACGTCGTCCTCAATATCTAATAAAAGCTCGGCGTTCTGGCATCCTCGCAATCCCTGTGCAAGAAGCAGACGAACTTTCGCTCCACATTGAAATAACCGAACGAAGGTCCGCTAGGTGATTACCGACTGAAACTACACAACGGAGCCAATAGCCTGCTTTTTTTGTGCTCACGAGCATTTAGGTTATGGCTGAGTATAGACAGCGTCACCTGTCATCTTCATACTATATGTGCACAACTCTGCACGCAGACTGAAAGGAATAGCAGCGCGCTTCAATACTTTAGTTGTCTTCTCGTGCGAGTTGCGCCTAAAACAACTTTGCAGAAGATTGAACAACAACGAAGCCCCCCAAAGAATGTTTCATCAAACATGCCAATGAGACCTTTCCCTGTGAAGCGCAGGTGGTATATTCTATTCCTTTTTCATGCTGTGACCGATACATTGGACGACGTCTTCCGTGCTTCAAGCGAATCTTAACATCTAATTCTGGTGCACACACGGCTTTGCACGAACTGTGAAACTGGTTTCCAGGACACCAGCATAATTGGGAAACACAAGAACAAGCTCGGCCGAGAGATTATTCAAGCCTACAGGATAGCTGGTACCGAAGACAACATCGCTGTAATTATAATGCAACTAAATGCAAAGGTGCAAGCGAACTGGACAAGAATGACGAAAATAATCCCTGGAGAAGGGGAACAAGAGGGACAAAGGACAAACATAAATCTCCAAACATAGCTAAATGACTGGTGAGCGTCTGAAGAAATCCGCCTGATCCGGGTATCGAACCCGGGACCTCTCCATTACAGGTGGAGCGCTCTACCAACTGAGCTAGGCAGGGGCTAGACGTCGGTAGAGCAAACGGGTTGTATCAGCTGCCACCAGTCTAACACCAACAAGGGTGAAGCTTGAAAATTTAAGGTTATAATTAAAACGCAATTAAATGCAAAGGTGCAAGCGAGCTGGACAAGAATGACGAAAATGTTTCCTGGAGAAGGGGAACAAGAGGGACAAAGGACAAACATAAATCTCCAAACACAGCTAGGTGGCGTCTGAAAAAATCCGCCTGGTCCGGGTATCGAACCCGGGACCTCTCTATTACAGGTGGAGCGCTCTACCAACTGAGCTAACCAGGGATTAGACGTCAACGGCCTCATCTATCTCAATTTGCCAATGTTTTTTTTTTTTTTTTTTTTCTATTTTTTTCTTATTCTTTTTTTTTTCTTTCTTTTGTTCTTTATCTTCTAGTTTATCGCTCTTTTATTCTGGGGAATCGTCGTCCTTTTTCGGGTGTTTTTTCATGCATCATCGTCACTCTAATAAGTTGGGACAGAGATTGTACGTATTAAAGGAGACACCAGTAAATGTTCGTTTCTAGTTGAAAGAACTGTGCTGTCCCTCCTCGTCCCTAAGTGTTTTTATTGTTTCTTTGATTTTTCTCCTGTCCGATTACGCAAACCACTTAAAATGAGTCACGTGATAAATAAGGAAGTGATAATCTTACCTATGTAATCATTATCATAGTGATCTGCCTTCTGAATCATGGAAACTTTGTGCGCGATTCTTCCGTCCTCAGAGCGCGCTTCCAATGGCAAAGGTTCAATCCTCAACTCGTCACTCAGAACACCTTTCTGCAAATTTACCTCATATATTTTCAGGCATATCAGGTGAAAAAAAAAAAAAAGATAAAATAACTTTTGACATGAAAAGGCCTCCCTTTACTTCGTACTTTCGCACCTTTAAGCCGAGAAACCTTACTAATAAACCTGTCAGACGGGAAAGTAAATGTCATTTTGATTGAATGTCATTCAGCGCTCCGCGAATCAGCTCGTGATCCTTGTTCTGCACGGTGCGCGCACGCACAGCGTGGCGTATTAAACCCGCAGATTGGCCGAGCTGTAATTTCATTTGGCTTAAATGTCATTTAACGTGCCCGTCTGACAGGGGTATTAAAATTCTTAAACAATATTAAGCGAAGCACGTCCTCCAAACGTCAACTGAAAATTAACGTTTAGGGAATCTAAGAACCCTCAAGAGTTAAGAGTAAAATATTTTAAAATGTATGCCATCGTATTCTCGATTTTGGTTAGAAATTGCGAAAAAACATTATGTTCATGGAGCATACTTTCTCTATCTTTGAATCCTTGGAAAGCGGTAATATCTCACTCTTATCTCAGCTTGCATTTATATACATTTCATAAGAGTATACTATACGAGTGTTGGACGTTTATCATTAAAAAAAAAGTTAAAATATTTCAACAACCAATATTTTTGTTATAACTGCGCATACTCATTGCTCGAGTTCAAGTAAGGCATAATAATATAAGAACGATAATAACTTCTTCGGAAGGAATTCTACAATAGTGTTTTCATTCAATTCTGAATGGCACGCTGTGTGCATTCATGACAGCCTTCCTCTCTTGTATATTATCTAGAACATAATCTTGTACATTATATCGCCACCTAATCATCATCATCCACAGACGCGGCACCGCGTGCCTCCGTGGGTATACGGGCTCTTGGCTTTCTGCGGTGCCGCGGCTCTTCTGAGCCAATACGAACTAATAATATTACTCCCGTTGTTATTAGCCTCTAGTCGGCAAAAGTAAGTTCGATCCCTCGGTACGGGGAATGTCCACGTACGAGACAAGTCCCATGACTACGTGCGACCCCTGTCGGCGACACAAGGAAGATGCGGAAGCCGACCATACTCCGTTTCACACAGCCGATCCAGCGAGTGCTGTGAACGTGTATCGGGTGACCGCGCGTCACAGCGCCCGTCTCAAATATCACGTGACACTCGTCCTACATCTGATTGGCTCTGGTAGCTCATAGAGCGCGCCCTCTGCGGTGCATTGCAAGATGAAACGGAGTATAAGAAGAGATTGGTTTAACGCATTGGGAATCCTGGTGTGTGGAATGCGTCATGTAGTTATCAATGATGGCGCAATGCCGCAGTCCCACTGAGAGTACCTGTCTACAGACACTCTTGAAATAAGCATGATTCGACCAGGCTTGAGGAGTGTACGCAGATAATTTTATCATCATTGCTGCACCGAACACCGTGCTTTTTGTCTAAACTCTAAAAAATCTAGAAACTCAGAACGGTTTCTTTTGCATCTAATCAATTTCGTCATTCGCCGAGTGCCCTCCGTAGGTTGCGGCGATTGGATCTACCATGTGCTTGGCGGGAGAACAGAAGGTTTCTGAGAGTGTACGTGCAGTGTGACCCCAAGTTAATAGGGGTGCTAAATGGTCACAACCGTGTTTTTTATCTTAAAATAACGGGAGGCAATATTGGCCCACCGGTGACTCTTGAACTTTAAGAAGCCGCCACGCCACATTTTTCAAGGAACGACCGCGGCGCTGTTTCCGATGGACTTACCACCTCCAAACCTCCGGCCACTTCTTCTATTGAAAGGACTGCCATATGGTATTTGTCATGGTACAAATGCTTTTCGAGCTCCTTTCCGCTCATCTGAAAAACAATACTGCAGGGTACTTTTTCGGTGTGTAATGTATAGGGCAGGGGTGGAAAAGTTGAAAACAAAACCACAAAACTTTCAAGAGCCGCGGGGGGGGGGGGGGGGGGGGGGGGGGCGTAAACAACCTGAACAACTTATACTCTGTCCGAGTCGAAAGCAGTCTAACTGTGCGTAAGGTAGCAGTAGCACAAGGTTACCAAACCGCAACCTGTATTTCAATAGACCTATCTAGGGTGCCTCAATGTCCTTGCACCCTAGACCTATCTCACCAAGCGTTCGGCGCATGCACGACGCCGCCATAACTTTAGTTCACTGGAGGCAAATGGCACTGCGCGAGAGGGTTCGTGGCGTCTCGTGCTCTACACGCGCAGAGCTCCAGCGAAATTGTCGCACGTGCAGAAAGACTAAAGTTCCCTCGATGCATTGCGGCAGCGGTGGCGTAGTCAAACTGGCTGCTGAGATCGGTCTCTTTAAAACGCGTTCCATTTCTTTTTTTGGGGGGAGTGCTCGTGTGACCGGAAGGAAGGCGAGGGAGTTGGGGGGAGGGGGGAGGAGCGAGAGCCGCGAGTTGCACTTTAAAGGGATGCTGAACCAAACATATCAGTGTCTATATTAAGTGGCGCACGATCTTCGCACGAGTCAGCAGCCGCCGGCGTATGCGAGAACACGCGACGAAATCGACGTCAAAGTTCCCCATTCAAGCTTAAGATGACAGTGAAATGTGTGGGCTTCAGGGAAAAGGAGAATCATGAGAAGCTATTTATATCCTTAGTGGGCTCTGGTGTAAAAGGTAAGCGAACTATTGGTCTAACAAGCATGTAGCTCTCACCTGTAGAGATGAAAAGCCTGTTTTTATTTTCCTTTGGCCCGAAGCCCATTCATTTCAATGTCATCTTAAGCGCGAATGGAGGACTATGACGTCAATTTCGTTGCGTGTGCTCGCACACACCGGGGGCTGCTGGCTCGTTGAAAGAACGTGTGCCACTTATTATGGAGACAAAATTCTTTGGTTCAGTATCCTTTTAACACTCAAAGAGCCGCATGGGGCTCGCGAACCACAGCTTGGCCACTCCTGGTATAGTGTGTCTGAAATAAAGAGAGTCGATCTAAAATGGGCCGCAGGAATCGGCGCCTGCACGTTGCAATCTAAACCTTTCGTGAAAGGTGTATTTCACCGGTGAGTTTTACTTCATAAAATTACAAGACGTAGCTCTCTTTCTCTAGAAAATAGAACCAAAAACCTGCCAGGGTCAACGGCAGACGGCGACGCAGAACGACCGAGACGAGTGTCGGGGCGAGTTCGGGGCACGTACTGATAGCAGCGTCGGAAGGTGTAGTCGATCAACGAAAGGAAGCAGACGACATTCAGACGAAATCCGTCGGCAGCAAGAGCGCCGCCGTTATGCAACCGTGTTTTCTTTTCTTTTTTGTTGCTTCACCTTTCGCTATCATTGTCCGCATTTATTGTTGAACGAAAGGTACATTACAGAAAGATTTTGTCTATTTGAACAAACCACAATCATCGCGGGCAGTATCGATACCTTATTTCAAGCAAACCGGAACAAGATGGTAGCGCTATATATTAATATATGTATACGGGCGCCAAACACGCCCCGCCACGCGATTCGGTTGTCTGCGAATCGTCCGCCGTTGACACTGGCAAGTATTTCGCGCTATTTCTTTTACAGAAACGGATCTACGCCTTGTAATTTTACAAGGTAAAGCTCACCTGTCAAATGCACCCTCGATGAAAAGTTTACATTTCTATGGGCAGGCGCCGATTTTTACGGGCAATTTTAGATCGAGCCTTGGCATTTTAAACACCCTATACATAATCACCGGCGGCTTAAGAAACGCGGGACGTGGCTTGTAATGTTCATACTTTTTCTTCTTGATTCGTTCTCCGGCGTTTTTATTAGATAATGCTACCATGTCCTGCACTTTTTTACGTTGTCAGAGAGACTATAGTTGTATTGGCACATTAGCAAACAGTGGTCAATAAAAGCAGACAACAAAGCAATGAATAAATTTAATTGATTCGTATGGCACACACACTTACGTGTTGCTCTCTTCCGTCTTCTTGAACCAAGGTAAAATCTTCTGCTAGGACTGAGCTTTTTTCTAGTGTAAGTAGAAGCTCCTCTTCGATATGCAGCAATTTTTCTCCGTTGATGCCTCTTGCTTCGAGAAGCTTGGGATAGACGACACGTTCTTGGAGTGGCGCTTTCAAAGAAAGAAGAAAAATAATTGTCGAAGGTAAAATGCGACGTCTGTTGAAAAGATTTATTTAACACCACCTAAAATAATGAAAGCTTATAAGCAGCCTTCTCTAGGCGCTACAAAACGTCATCACACTCGAATCGTGCCAACTCAGTAATTGGGCCCCGGCCTGGCCAAACGCTGACGTTCAGCTCGATCTCACTTTGATAACGTTAAAATTCTAGTGCATGTGGTTTGATTATTATATGAGGTGTTTATTTTTTGCACCTACCACACCAAGGAGGCGTTATAATGCAGAGATGTCTCTTCTCTTCTTTCCTTGTGACATTTTTTTATAAACTGTTATGTGCACACATACGGGAATGGAATAGTCACAGCCACTTATTACCATAATCTTATTATTAGCTTAAAGTACGATCGTTTTCAAAGCTCCAGAAAATTGTAGTTATTTGTGACAATGATGATCCTAGCTTTCGGCTGGAAGTCATGGGAGCCAATTCACCTGGTGCCACGAGGATCCGTCTCCGCCCTTTGGGGTACACGGGACATGAGCCATCTGAAAGTACCACTGCCAACATGCGCCCAAGCTGGATCTGGCGAACCGGCCGACATGTTCGACGACTCCTCTACTATGGATGAGTCTGAGGACGGAGGGGAATTAAACTAAGATATGTCGAAGAAGAGGCGCCGTGTCTCCAAGCGCTCCAACTCAAGTGAGCCCGTCATAATTACCCAATCAGCTCGTAGTCTGACTGTCACTGTCAAGTCGACTGATCCTATAGAACACGTCACCAACCTGAACCTTTTGGTTCTGAGAGAAAAAAAAAACTGGATAGTCTGAATCAACAAAACTATGCTTCAACTTAAGGTGCAACCCCACCCTTGGTTAGTGTGATTCTGAACCAACAGATGGCGGTAGGATCGCTTTCCAGGCCTGTACATCAATCTGAGAAATCGTATGTGGTGGCGCTTCGATACAGTGGGGTATTTTTCTATATCCTGAATTTGACATCCCTGGTCCCTTGCTTGTTTTTCTCTGCACGAGCTTTCTTTGGAACGCGCACGGCTGCGCCAGCTCTCGTGCAAGGGAGCCAGTTGCCTACGCTCTGAGCTCACGTCTTCAGCATATGTGATCCGAACAAAACGTGAAAAGCGTCCTGAGCCAAATGACGAGACATATGCACAACCAAACCAACGACGCGTTGAAAAATATAAAATTGCATGTGCGCCGTTATCGGTGATTTTAGAGGCCAATTACACATATTTCAATGTGATCAGATTTATGTTGATACGAATGAAAGTGACGAGAGGACCAATAGTGAACTAAAAAATAAAGGTTTAATTGGCGAACTTGTGCTAAACAAAAAAAGTAAGGAAAGGTAAGGAAAAGTAAGTAAGGAACAGGAGGCAGCAGAAAAGCAGGCGGCGATTCGGCAGCATAACAGAGAGCGAGAGCGAGAGTAACTCGACAAGGTCGCTGGCAGCTGCTTATCATTCTACAGTGCGTCACCATCTTGAAAGTTCGGCAAAGAAGGTTCGAGCGTCACGCGCTCGGGGCGAGGATGAACTGGCACTTTCGAGAACAAGAAAACAGGGCGAATGTTACGTCCAGTGCAAGAATGAACGCGAATCTTCTAGAAGTCTGTGACCAAGCGTTGCTTTCTCGGCTCTGCGGGCGGCAATATGACAGGCCAGCCCTTTTGTCGTGCATGTGATTCGCTCTTTGTGGATTTCCAGGAAAACGAGATGACGGGATAGACTTGGGTTTTCAAAATTATAGCTTGAGGGAGGAAATAACTACCTAAAATATATATATATATATTTTTTTTTTTTTTTTTTGGGGGGGGGCGGTCAGGTACGTGTCTCATTTAGGTAGGTGGGTGTTTATTTTGACCAAAACCACAAGACTGGAAAACAGAAAACATGACACTTAGGTTTAGATGTTGAGTTTGGTAAACCCAAAGTAGGACTGGTGCCGGAGTCATAATAATAAAAGAAATGCCAAGGTTAAAAATTAACTCACAGCAATAAATGATAATTAATTTTAATACGAATTCAGTGAAAAATGCGATGACTGGCCAGGCAAAGATTCTTGGTTTGTGGATAGCTTTTCCGCAGTTTAAGCAATGTACAGGACGTCGCCCCCCCCCCCCCCCCCCCCCCCTCCAAAAAAAAATACAGGGTCTTTTTTTACCGCAAGCATAAACTAGGCATCGCCGAACGCTAATTTCCCGCCCAAAGGCAGCGCTAGAGGTCACATCCAGATGTCAAAGTTCAGCCCGATCCGATACCTTACTCAAAATTATAAGTGATTTTCTGAAAAGTTCAATGGGAAAATGGCGGCCGACGGAGTTTTCGAATACATGGCGCTCTATGGGCACCAGAAACCGAAAACGGGCAAAAATGGGCTTCATTTTCCTATTGAAATGCTGAGAAAATTACTTATAACTTTTGAATAAGGTGTCCGTTCTGGATGAAACTTTGGCATCTGGTTGTGACCTAGCGCTACCTTTTGGCGGAAAATGGGCGTTAATCGATGGGCGTAGTTTACTTTTGCAATAAAAAAAAGACTGTCATTTTTTTTTTTTTGTGACATCCTGTACCATCCTTAATTTGGTGATTTAAGCGCGCAAGTTGTGGCTCGCAAAAATGAAAAAGATGCAAACGGGTAGAGTTTGACGTTGTATAACATATAGTGTAAGCACGCACATGGTACGCTGATTAAGACTGAGACAGCGCTAAATTTTACACTAGCGCTCAGCGTATTGGTAGTTAAGGTCCATCAAAGGCTAAAGCTTGTACACATATACTGCTCAGGCCATTATGTTTGAATGCTCATAGTACTTTATTACCCTCATATTTGGTGTAAGTTCTCTCCTGATTGCTTACAACAGAAAGAAGGAAAGCATTCTAACGTTGGGTTGACAGAAAAACTCCACCTGCTGACAGCTACCAATCACATCGGCGCCGATTACGAGTATTCACTGCATGCCAACGGTCGCGTGCTTAGAACGAGGTTTTCCCACGTGACTTCATACAATCGTAATTGTTCTTGACAAACAAACATGTTTGCTCAGGCAAGGGGTCACATGTGAAGCTTAGAATATTTTGTATTGATTGTGGCACACGTAACAAGTTGCATAGGTTTTTTTTTTTTTTACGATCCACGAAATAGAATGCTTTTGGGTTACCTTGGTCTCTAACGCATGTAGCACACCAAAGAACACGAACTGAATCGCAGTGGGAGACGAAAACAATAATGATAAACAAGCGTGTAGTCACGCGAAATCTGAGGGCATTGCACATATACAGAAGGTAAGCTTTGTTTCACTAAATACATTACCAGTAAAGTATTTGGTTTTATCTTGCGAGCGAAGCGGAACATACAAGTGCGAGCATACTGCCCTGAACTATTTTTCCAGTGAACAAGCGCAACATCCAAAGCATCGAGTTCGTTTTTATAGCTCTTGGTACGCTCGAACCTTTGAAAGCACAATTATAATCAAGTCTATTATTTCAATTATTTTTATTAAGTGCGCCTATATTTTTTTTTTGTCTGCTGCGTACACGTGCCATTTTCTTAGTTATATAATATTTTTCCAGAAGTCTGACACCTATAGTGTGTTTCATCATAAGTAAGAGCCGCATAATCAAAGATGTAGACAAAAAAAAGAAGAACGGGAACAAGTGAACACACATTGAAAATGCAATGTAACGGCACATTAAAAATTAGTCGTTAGGTTTTTGAAGAGCAGCAGTTTTGTAGGGCGACATTGTTACTGTTGAAGGTTATAAAAAGTGCAGTACAACTGTTAGCTCGGGGTCTTTAACGTGCATTACGCAGTATAGGTGGTACGCGATCGCACGACGGTAGGATGCAGATGGGCGACTGAACCCAGGGTCCCTGCTAAAGCCCCTTGATAAAGGCGTTTTTTACAAGTACCGCCAACCATTGTTGTAGAAACGCGCAAGACACGTGCCACGAGTGGGTGCTCCGCCGCCATTCGCGTTCAAGGGCCAGTCATTTTAGTGCTGCGCCGCCATTTGCCTCCAAGGGCCGCTTGAGACACGGGCCTCGTGCACTGGCACCTTTGAGGATATTTGAAAGACCAACGAAAACACATCGAGAGGATTTAGTCCCTACAGGTTTTGCAGCGTGAGCTCCGTGCTTTGAACGGAGCTCGCGCTCGAACATTTCTCCACGTGTTCTTATCTGTGGTGCCACAACACACTCGGCCAACGATCCCCCGCCGCACTTGGTTTAGCCTGTGGCCCTTACAAAAAAATGAACTGACTTTCAATTGAAAGTGTAAAGGACTCACTCAATAGACCTCATTCAGTCTCAATTGAAACTTAATTGACTTTTTCTATTGAGTCGCTATTGATCCGTCCCAGACTATTGGCCACTGAGTCTTAATTGAATTTTTAGCAATTGCATTTCAATTGAATTTTGGCAATAGTGTTTCAATAGAACTTTTGCTATTGAGTTTTAATAAAAATATTGCAATTGACTTTCAATTGAATTATTGCAACGTGCTTCAATAGAATTTATTGCGACTGCATTTTAAAAAAAATTGCTCTGGTCGCGAATTTTTTTTCACAATTCTTTAAAGCATGCAACGTGAAGGAAACAAAGCACATAGAGGAAACGAACACAAACATGGTAACTAAGCACTCACAACCCACTAATCGTACTCCCTTGACTACCCCACCGCCTTGTATACCCTACATAAGAAAGGTATTCATTTGGCCGGTGACCACCTCAGCATCTACTAAGGTTCCCAGTCTCTTATTTCTTCCTTGAAAGTCTCATAGATGATAAACAGTGTTTCGACGTCACTGGACTCTATCCCTTAATTGAAAAACATTGGTACCAGCAATAATCGTTCGGTGCACACGGGTGCAGTAATCCACAAACGACCAAACTCAATTGCATTCCTAATGAGTAAATTCAATAGAATCGATATTGACTTTCTGATGACCAAACTCAATTGCATTCCTAAGGAGTATATTCAATAGAATTTATAGGGAGTTTCTAATGATCAAACTCAATTGCATTCCTAGTGAGTAAAGTCAATAGAATCGATATTGAGTTTTTATGAGCAGTCTCAATTGCAATCCTTCCGAGTAAATTCAATAGAATCTAAATTGAGTTTCTTATGACCAAACTCAATTGCATTCCTAGTGAGTAAAGTCAATAGAATCGATATTGAGTTTCTTATGATCAGTCTCAATTGCATTCCTATTGAGTTAATTCAATAGAATTGAAATTGAGTTTCTTATGACCAAACTCAATCGCATTCCTATTGAGCAAATTCAATAGAATTGATATTGAGTTTCTAATGATCGAACTCAATTGCATTCCTAGTGAGTAAAATCAATAGAATCGATATTGAGTTTCTTATGATCAGTCTCAATTGCATTCCTAATGAGTAAATTCAATAGAATCAAAATTGAGTTTCTAATGGTCAAACTCATTAGACATTGAGTTTATATCGAGTTTCAATTGACTCTATAGGAACACAATAGAAAGTCAATTCAAACTCATTGATCATTTTTGTAAGATGAGCTACGCTTAGAGTATCGGCACCTTTTACCGCGATATTAGTGTGGGCGCCGCCATCTTGGTGGTTAGTAACAAATCAAACGCAACTGCCGATCGTCATGATTCAAAAGTGCTACTTCCTCAGCATTAGTTTCGGTGTCAGGAAGCTTGTGTAATATTGCTTTGCTTTGCCGTGAACTGTTTAAACATTTGTGGAGGAAAGAAAAGCGTTTCCTGTGATTTAAAAAGGCTCAGATAACTGACAACCATTATTTCAAGCGCCAAGATGTGTATAAAACGTAGCTTATTTAGTGGTTATAGTGTAGCGCGACCGCATAGGCACAGAAAGAGAACGAACAGCTTGACCTCGCGCTCTTGGCACTGCTTCAGTGGCTTCATCCGCCCGTAGCGTTGGCTGCGCTCCGAACTAAGGTAAAGCAAAGCAAATATTTAGATCTTAGGGTTTCACAAGCTAAACCAACAAAATCACTTAACTCGCCCCAATAAAGAAATACAAAAATTGCGGGTTTATTTTGACTAATTGGAGATATTTTGACGTGCAACCGAAATCTCAGATTGGCCTCTGTCGGCTTGCGGGCACCTCGGCCGATATTTAAACCCGACAAATATGAACTCATGGCCCAGCCCGTTGGCTCAGAGACACTGGGACGATTTAATGTTTTGTGTTTTGTTTTAATATCATCGCTACTTATGAGCCATAGAGGTGGGTTTTGAAACAAAATATAGTCAAATTATTCCGACAAGCATAGTTTGATCGCGAAAATGATTTTTCCAAGTGATAAAAACATTAAAATGTTTTCGCATACGTGGCGGAATCTGAAATAGCAGAATGCACTTCATGGCGCCCATTTCATTTGGATCGCGTCGGGAATGTGTACCGACGCACAGTAGAACGCGCGTAAAAATAGCTGTGGTGCAGCCGCAACCTCGCGCTTGTTGTTCTGACATCTCTGGTTCGCTCACTGCGGGCATCCAGGCATCTGACACCCTGACATCTGACGCTTTTTCTGTTTTTCTCGTGGCGTTCCAAGCGGCACACGACGGAAGATGCACATCAAGCTGTTCTTGAACACGTGTCGCCATCTGTACTTTATATTAAGAAACTACAATCTGCCGTAACTGAATGGGAAACGTTTGAGGTCTTATAACATTCTTAACGTGTAATATATCAACGTGAAAGTTCTGGAAATTGTAATATCGAAGGAGGCTTCATAATTTAATGTCTCGTTATTTTGATTAGTTGACGTGATTTCGTTTTTATAGCGCCATAAAATAATACCATTTTAAACTTTATTTTTTATTTTAAAATATACATTAGCTGTACAGTTCGTTGCTTACTTTTTTAATTTATTACATCAAACCAAACTCTCACGTAACATATCGTGAACAATGGAACGTTATAACTCGAGAAATAATTTTTTCAACATTAGAGACTGTGGTCTATTAAAAGATAAATATTTAACTAACAACTAAAAGTAGTTGCAATTTAGAGACCTTAAAGGATTGTTGAAAAACAGCTCTTTAATTTGACATCAACTTTATAATTTTAAGATACATAGAACGGAAGTTATAAGCCATCAAAAAAGCACCAAAACGTCATGCACGGTGGGGTTGCACGTTAAGAGCCTGGGTTCCTTTCAACTTCAGGCGTTCGAACCGCCTCCACAACCTGCCTACGTCGGCGACATTCGCGGTGTTTCTACTGAGATCCAGGACGCTGACCTCTGGACGGTCATGCGAGAAAGAGATCCCGCGACTCAAGTCCTAAGACTTGGTATGTCGGAGGCAGTCAGGCTCGTCTTCGCCTCGGGAATATCACCCGAGTACATACACTTAGGCTACATCCGATATCAGATACTCCCGTACCTGTAAAAACCCCGACAGTGTCCCAAGAGCAACCACTTCGGACATATTGTAAGCACCTGCTCTAGACCACAGATCTGCAGCCGATGTGTCGGCAAGCATATACACCAGCACGTGCGGAGAAGAGCAACCTAAATGTGTCAATTGCAACAAACGCCATAATGCCACTTCACGAACATGTCCAGTCTACAAAGTGGAGAAACAGATATTTAACTATACAGGAGCTACAACAATATGGACAACACGTCAGCAAAATAAAGCAACATGAACAATCAATAGGCTCGTGGCGCTGGCAAATATTGGAAACCTCGGAGGTGTCCATAACTCATGAAAGAAGACAAAGAGCTAAGCCAGAATACCCCTGAACAGTGAAGCAGAATATAAAGAGATACAAGGGTTTAAAACGTGAAAAGTATCGCTTCTTCCTCTGGCAACCAAATATTGTAAGAACCACTTTGCGCGGTGTATGAAGAATGCGCAAAACTTCCTTTTTCCTTGAGGTGAAAACGGGTATAGTCTTTTGTCCCCCCTCATAACCCTTTCCCAAACGCTGAACTGACTCACCCCTATTTCCAGGAGTTGCCAATTGTTCGAGTTTTTCCTATTAAGCATCGCTGAGAACAACAGCATAACCTTATTATTAATCAGCTGCCACTAAAATTGCGTCATAAGCCGTTAAGAACTCCGAACAACGAATCACGAAACAAAAAGATTAAAAATAATGAGTCACATCCTGCGTTGTCCCTGACTATACAAGGACACCGCCGAGTATTTCCGCCTGTCAGTAGCAAGCTGAGGGACAAGTTAGTTTACTTCTGCAACGCCCGGCAGGTAGTTTTGCGGTGAGCTTGAAAGACAAGAGACGCTGCGAGCAGACGCAGATAGCGTCATCTGCTCGCTGCGCATATAGAGAAATGGCGCCACGCGTTACGGGGCTCGCTCCGCGTTCGACCCTGGCGAGATTGTTCGTCTCATTTTTCACAGAAAGGTAGATATGTTTTGAAATTTCATGAGCTAAAATGCACCTCCTCGTACCACATTATGTGAAAGTTTTTGCTTTCTATGTGCTGACGTTGATTTTTCCGGCTCCCTTAACCTAACCTAACCTAACCTAACCTAACCTAACCTAATCTAACATCCACTGACAATGAGTGCGTAATAAATACAAGAACTACCTCATTAGGTTCACATTTCCTGCTTCCTGGTTTGTTCGTCTGTTTCTTATCGGATAACGTCGCAATCTCAATGAATGAAAAACGATGCTGTTTCAAGATGCTCATGGGTCTCTACGTTTCCTGAAGCCCTCGGGAACTATTAGCGAGTTTTAGTAGACCGTGTTTCCCCCTCCGCCAAGCCCCTCTGCTACCCGGAACTCTACAGGCAAGGCCATCGGCGCGCAGGCGCAGTGGCGGTTTCTTCGTAGCGGAGGGCTAGCGGAGAAAGAAACGCGGTCCACTAAAACTCCCTATACACTGGACTGGAATCTAAACAGAAATCTGCACCTCACATCGGTTGTTGCGCTTTTAGCTCTCTACTGGAGGTATGAAACGCTCCATAATAAATAAAAAGCCACTTACCACTAAAGGCCTCTCCTAGTAAGGCAGCGAGCAGGAATGCGATGAAACGATCCATGTTGTTGTTGTTGTTGTTTTCACTGATTTACCATGGTGCGCTAAATGTTCTGGTTTCCACGTGACAGAATTGGTAGCTGCGCTCTCGCGTTCTTATCTGCGTCAGCTGGCATTTTAAACTCCCGATCAAGCTGAAGTCACGTTGACATTTTCATCCGAGGTGTGTTGGCCTTTCCAAGAAAACCTCGAATAACAAATCCTTGCTTGCATCCGTATAGCTTAAAGCTAAGTAAGGGCAGTAGAAATAAAAATGAAAAAATGACAGAACACAGACATTTAGAACAATAATTGCTCTTTCAATCTCGACATCTGTTTATCTGCTACGCAAGAGAAAAGGTTACATTTCATACTAAACGGCGAGCAAATTCGGCAACTCTTTGCGCACCTCGTTTTTTTTTTTTTTTTTTTTTTTTTTTTTTTTACGGCGCATTTGGGTTTTTTAAATTTCTCATCTACAGCTGGGAGACTCGTCGCCCGTTGAGGCAGACCAAGTTTCAGGCTGTATAAACATACGCAACATAATTTTTTAAGGAAGCACGTGCAGTTGCAAGCATACCAAAGTCCCCATCACGTGCGCGCTGCCCGCGCTTGCACTCATGGTGCACCAGTCCGGCCGCCGTGCTTGTGGGCATGTATATAAAACTTTCTATTAGCGAGTAGTATACCGTGTTTCCCCCTCCACTAGCCCTCCGCTACGAAGAAACCGCCACTGCGCCTGCGCGCCGATGGCCTTGGCTGTAGAGTTTCGGGGGAGGGGCTTGGCGGATGGGGAAACACGGTCTATTAAAACTCGCTATTATTAGGGAGCTTTAGCAACCCGTTGCCGTGCTCCGCGTACCGCTCTACCGGTGCCTTTGAAGCATGCTTTTAAGCGCGCGCCCCGCGGTCAAGGTACCACCCGGGCGCGCTTAAAAGCACGCTTCAAAGGCACCGGTAGTGCGGTACGCGGAGCACGGCAACGGGTTGCTAAAGCTCCCTATTAACTGCTTTACCGTTTACAAGGTTTTCTTTTTACGTTAACGCGCACTTTTGTAAAAAGGTATATTACATGCACCGTGTGCTATCGTTGCGTGCATACAAACTACCGTTCATTCCTTCGAACTAGTGACTCAGCGGTGTAATCATCCACTCGCTGATGCATCTCTGAAACAAACAGATTCAAATCATACGGCCGTTCTTCGCACTGATCATTAACTCTTGATCTTTTTTAAATCTGCAATGTGATTATACAGATACCGGGTTTCAAATGACGACTCACCACATCTGCATTCCGTGTGCCCAATATGAACGCAAGACGTTCTTGCGTTCAATGATGGCGGAACTTTTGCTCGAGCTTCACAAACACATTGGCGTGGGATCTCTTTGCGATTGGGGGTTTTTCGTTCAAGTGTCTGGCAACTTTACAGATTTTGCTCAGCGAGATGCCGGTGGTGGCATCAGGGTTGCCTAACTTGTTGCGGCTTGCGCTGTTGCGCATGTTGTCCGAGCCATTCGAAGGAGTCTTTGATATTCATTAATGTCGTTCTCAAGCCGCTCCTCGTACAAGTGTTTCCTTTTTTTTTTTTATTCCACCCACTCAAGAATATTTTTCTTCTTTTAGTAGGAAGCAGCTGGTCGTCGTCTGCATGTAACAGTCCTGCTGCCCTAATCGCGTATCGGCTTTTATGTACGACTCCATTTTTATACTCTCGTCAACGCGCACCAAGCCCTGTTGTCGAGAGTGTGACCGCTAATTGTGTCTGATAACACAAATATCACCCTCGGATTTTCGTGTGAATGCTTGTGTCGGGGAGCGAGTCTAATTCAAATTCATATTCAAATTCAGTTAATTGTTTTTATACATTTTACAGGCGACGGAGGCGTGGGTTGTTGGCTTGACGAGGCCCATCCCCGTTTCCTCGGCGCAGGCAGCCAGACAATACAAAAAAGTAATAAAAAAACAGACACACAATCGAATTACAAAAGGGTAGTATAAAGCAAATATAGAAATCACAAATATAACAAATTACTGATTGCTACAGTTTATACAGGTCTCCGTCTGTTAGATAAACATAATTTTGATGAAATGATGGTGTGAGCGTTTCAAAAGTGACATCGTTTTGTTAATTATTATTTTGCAATGATGGAAGATTACGTCTTAGCATCGGGGTTTCGTAATTTCTTCTGCAGTGTTGTATTTTCTAAGCGCCTGTATTACGAACGCTATCAAAATTTGAAATTCGCGTTAAATCAGCTGCCTGGTCAATTAGGGCAATACTAATTTTTCTGTTTGTTATGGGTCTAAGAATTGAGGTGTCATCATAGAGATGGATAACTGGGATGAGATGCAGTGTTTTAAAAAGAGGTTTTGTACGGGTGCCATATGACACATTATTGATAGAACGAACTATCTTTTTTTGAAGAACATTGAGTTTGTCCATGTCAGTTGCTGTTGTGTTCTCCCAAACGATATGAAAATATTTTGGATGTGAAGCGAGCAGAGAGTTGTATATGTGTAAATTAGTGGTTACTGGGCCGTCGAAACGAAACTTGCTGGGAACACCCACAACTTTAGAAATCTTACCAAGTATAGTTTCAACGTGGCAAGCCCATAACAAGTTTTCCTGAACTATTACGCCTAAAGGATTAGCAGAATGATATATTTCATATAACAGATGGCCACATCACAAGATTCTGTCGAAAATGATCGATTTATATTTGAGTTTAAGTTGCACTGTCCCAGTTTTATATGTGTTGATTGGCAGTGAATTTATGTTACTTCATGGGTACAGTGATTCCAAAGTGCGGTTTGCAACTTGAGCAAGCGTTTCGTTGTCAACTGCAGAAAAAAGAGGAAACTAGTATCATCGGCATAAATTACAAAGGTTACGTCATTACTAAATTAAACGATGTCAACAATAAAAAAAATTTAAATAAGCAATGAACCCAATATATGTCCCTGGGGAACACGGACAGTCAAGGCACTAAGCTGGAACCCTGAATACTGATGATAACAAAGTGTTGATGAAACTGAAAATATGAAGCTATCAGTTTCAGCCTTACTTCGTGTAAACCGTAAAAGTCAAGGTATCTCTTTAAGTAGTATGATTAATACGATCGAAGCCTTTGGAAAAGGTCCACAAAAACCACAGGAGTAATACACTTTTCTGAAAATGATTTCAATATTATTTCCTTTTGTGTTAGCAGGGCAAGTTCGGTCGATCGTCCCTTACGAAAACTGCATTCTGAGGGAAGCACTTGGAAAACACCGGTAAAATAGAAATGGGCTTGTAATTTGAGTGCTCATTTTTGTATCAAACTTTGAAATGAACAACTTTGGCAGTTTGCGTACGGCGGCGAGGAAAGGTTACCGTGGGGAAAATATATATATATATGAAGGATAACACTGGTTCCGCCGATCACTGATCTCACCGCACATCCCTTCCCCAAAAACCATCCCTCGTGAGCACGCGGGAGAGAACTCCCTCCTTTTGCTACCGGGATGCGCATCACGTGGTAACAATGTCACGCTTGTGCGCGGAGCCGCGCCGACATAGACATCCCAGGGGACGGTGAAGCCTTTCCTCGGGCTGCACTAACGCTCCCCGCCTTGGCGTGAATACTTTATTCGCGTACCTGGCAACTTCACAGGATTGTGCTCAGGTGGCATAGGGAACGCCTAACTTGTGGCTTACGCTGTTGAGCAAGTCGCCCGAGGCATCTGATGGAATCTTCGATATTCATTAATGCCGTCCTAAAAGAGCTTATCGTAGAACTTTTTTTTATTATTATTCAACACCTTTTGTGTTGGATCTACCCATTTGAGAGAATCTTTTGTTTTGTCGGCAACCATGGTCGTCATCCTCTGCATCTAACAGCGCTGCTGTCATAATCGCGTATCACAATTTCATGTACACCTCCATTTTCCTACTCTCATCCGAGCACACCGAGTTCTGACGTCGAGAGTACGACGACTAAACGCGTCTGATAACACTGATATCCCTCTCGGTTCCCCGCCGTTTGTGTGAATGCTTGATTCGGAATGGGAGCCCCGCTGGTACCGCCGATCACTGACGTCATGCACATCCCTCCCCGAAAAGCACCCCCCCCCCCCCCCTTTCCTGTGAATACCCCTTTTGAGTTGCCTTTCATGATCACATAGGGAGTTTGCACTGGCGGCCATAGTTGTCTGCTTGACAGCTGAGCGCGAGAGTTTTTTCAACCTGCGTTCCACACCATCAAGATCTCCGGTCTTAGCAGCCTATTAATTTGAGCTCGTTCCGAGCATGCGCTCTAAACATCGCCCTCAAATATAGCCTCTAATGAATGCCTTCTATACACACTCTATCCGCAAATGTGTAAACGTTCGCATGAAACGTCAACAACGGCCCTGGTACAGTAAACCATAACAGGAGTATTGGAAAAATCGCCGGCCTAAGGGTGAGGCGCTTCGTGTAGAACCTACCAGGTAGCGCTGGCGCTCAATTCCGGAGCACTTCTGCCAGCGAAGTTCGCGCCAAGCGTGGCCTTCCTCGACCTTAGCGGTTCATTAGTGTGGCCTATGTATACTTTATTAATGTTACAACGTTCTTGAATTAATGTTTAAAGCTTACTTGGGCAATGTAGTGAAAACCGGGATATCCAGTCTTGCATACTGGCTCGTTGCGGAGCACATCCTCGTTCTTTCTCTTCGTTTTCATGGCTTGGCCACAAGTTTCGAACCTATTGATGATCACAGTGCCAAGCACTTGCAAACAAATCCCAAAAGTGACCATATACACCACCGAAACCATTCGAGAACGTACGCGACGACACATGCCGAGTTACAGTAGCCGTCTCCTCCGGATTTCTACAACAGCGCCACTAGCGGCCGTCTACACTTTTGACTTCACAGGGCCGATGGGGCGCCGCCAAAGCTTTTTCCACTACCCCCATTATATGGTTCACTGTATCCCTGCGTGACGCCGCTGCGGTGCCGGTGCTATTGGAAGGGATCATGCGCAAACGCAAATCTAGTTCCTG